CTGGTCTCAGCTAAGCCCATAAGCAAGATCCATTTCCGTCCGTGTCACTGATTACTCCTTCCGATATTTATTAATAAACTTTTTTGGGGGGGGAGGGTTTCTTTTTTTTTTTTTTTTTTTTGGTGGCGGGGGAGGGGTTTCTCGTGGGGTTAGGTTTCTCGTGGGGTTAGTAGCAGGTATTCTTGGGGCCAATTCCTCCAAGTGTTCAGGTCCCTATCTTCGGCGGCTGAAGCGAGCCCTGCTGTCGGTGGCACGAGGTGCGTATGGGGTGAGTCGGTGGTTAGTATAGGCTGTGCGATGATGTGTCGCTCTTGTCTTGTCTTTAGTTGACCTGCCTATTGAGTCGTCCAGTTGCCATGGCAAACTTCACTGTTTCTCTTATAACATCTATACATGGCGACCAATCGTCGGGGTCGGAAGCTGCCTTTTCGCCTAGGTAGAATGATAGCTTGCCTCTGTGTGTATCAGTTCGTTGGGTCATCGGTGCGCGTTGTGCTGTCCACTGGGTGCACTGGAAGAGAAAATGCTTGACTGTCTCTGCTGTTTGTCTGTATGCATATTGATCTGAGGTGGTCGCCCCAATCTGGTGCAGGTACCAGTTGAGCCTAGCTATCCCTGTCCGTAACTGGGCCAGCATGCTGGCCTCCTTCCATGAAAAGGAGTCGTACAGTTGCCGTGTATGCATTCCTGGCAGGGCAGCATCAACCCTCTTCGAGAACTTTCCTACACCTTCAGGTAACCTGCTATACTTCTGTATTCTCTCTAACGCGTGTCTTAGGGTAGTTGAATAGGCCCTCGCTGGCTTTTTCCCCGGCGTCTTCCCTAGTTGCGTACTCTCTTTTGCCGCTGTTTTGGCTGCCTACTTGAGGTTGGACTCTACTTCTGCCGGAAGCCAGAAAATTGTAACCTTGTTGCCTTCACTTTTGAGCGTCTTGGTTGCCTCGTTTATGCGACGGATTTCTTGTTGGCTTGATTGTTGTTGTGGTCTTCCTGCTGCTAAGACGGCTGCTTTGTTGGTGGAGAAAACGTAGATGGCGAGGTAATGGACTCTCTTCGAAAGAGACTCTAGCACCGCTGCTATCGCCATGAGTTCTGCCGTATATGGATTTTGCTCCGTCCTGGGGCCGATGGTGGTTGATCCTGTCGTCGTGGAGCCGCTTCTCTTGTGTGACAAAGGGAGCAGTATTGCTGTTCCGTGGCCCACGATTCCGTTTCTTGCTGAGCTGCCTGTTGCAGCCCTCACGGCCTACCTAGTCTGGGTCGCCTTGCTCGCCCTGTCGCCGTCTTCTTCCATTACCGTATGGATTCGGCTTTCCCACGGTGGCTGTGGAAACGCTCCGATGGTCTCTAGCTTGTCCACTGGTAGGTCTTGGTATGCTGTGGCTATCTTCTGGAAAGGCGAGATGTGCCTCTTGAAGCTCTGAGGTCTGATGTGTCGCAGCGGGTGACTCGTAGGCAGAGTCTGGCGACGTACCTAGAACTTGATTGCTTTCCTTTTGAATCGTTCTTGGGCTGACTGTATACTTGCTTCTGCTTTGGTGACTGCTGTGGCCACTGTATTGAAGGTTCTAATGATTGCTTGAGCTCTAATCCTCTGTATCCTGTTGATGACCTTTATTTGGGCTGCTCTGCACCTGTGTTTCCAGACGTTCGACGCATAGTCTATTGTCGGCGCTACTGCTGCCACGAAGAGTTGCCTTGCCGTCGACGGAGATAGGCCTTTTAGTCGTCTGAGCTCCAGTACGGCTTCAAGGCCTTTCGATGCCGCTTGTGTAATATGTTGCTTGAAATGGAGTTTGGTATCCATGATTACGCCTAAGACTTTTATGCGGTCTTTGGGCCTGACTGTATCACCTTTGATGTCGAAGGTTGAGTACTTTTCCGGTTGTCGCCAGTTACGGGTAAAGTGTATGATGGCCGTCTTGTCTGTTTCGAATGTTGCCCCGCTTCGTCGTTCCTAGTTGAGGGCTCGGTTAATGATGGCCTGAATCCCTTGTTGGTTTGCTTTTTGCGATGGTCCGGTGACCTATGCCGTATAGTCGTCAACAAATGCTAGCGATTTTCCATTCTCATCGATTTGGTGCTGGACCAAATCGGCGTTGAGAAAAGGAATAGGACAGGTGATAGCGGTGAGCCTTGAGGTAGCCTAGCTTGAGGCAGGGAGCGGACCTCTGAGTCCTGGCCGTTGACTTGGATGCTTGCTGTCCGGTGCGAACAGAACGCATCCACCCACGCCACTAGCTTTTCCGGGATCCCTCTCGCCTTGAGTCTCTGAAGCAGTCTCTCCTTATACACCCTATTGTATGCGCTTTTGACGTCGAAGCTGACTAGACTGAGGACCTTTCTCTTCCTCCATGTTCTGTAGATGTACTCTTGGAGTAGAACCAGAGCCTGCTCTGCCGATCGCTGCTTCCGAGCCCCGAAGTGGCTTGTAGGCAGGAGCCCGTATGTCTTGACAGCATGCGATATCCTCTCGGCCATCACCGACTCAAGCACCTTCCCCAGTGTCGACAACAGCGAGATAGGTCGCTAGGTCTTCGCGATGGTGTAGTCGTCCTTGTTCGGTTTCTTCAGCGGGATGATCTTTGCGTGTCTCCACTGCTTAGGCAGTTCTCCCGCCTCCATCGAGGCTCGGAACAGAGCGAGAACCCGATGCTTCACTGCGGGCCACGTCTGCTTCCACACGGCTACTGGCAACCCGTCCTCTCCGGGCGCCTTCCACGATTTCGCTGCAAACAGCTGTCTCTCCACCTCTTCTAACGTAATCTCGGGGAAGGGCACGGGCGGCCGTTGTGGATGCTGCCCCTCGTCGTCGATCCTATCCGGAAGCGGAGGGAAGAAGGCAGTCAACAGTTCCTCCGCCTGTTCCCCGGTCTCTTCCGTCTTTGAACCGTCTGCTCTGGTAAGCTGGGGGATCTTGTCGAACGAGGCACGTTTGTCGGCGCCTAGGTACTTGGCTGCCTTCCAGATGTTCGTATCGTCGGCCAGGAACTCGTGCCAGTGGTGCTTCTTCTGTTGTCGGATTGCGTCGTGGTACTGCTTCGCCGCTGCCCGTGCCCGCTCCTCAAGATCTGGCGGACAGCGGCCGGCCCGTCTCTCCGCCCTCGCTCGGTTCCTCCAGAATGTGTGGATCCGCCGCAGCTGAGTGAGGTCATCCGTCCACCACCTCTTTGCATACCTAGACGGTTTAGCTGTGGGCGTTAACGCCTCTACTGCTTCCACTACTGCCGACATGAGCCTGTCCGTCTGCTGCTGCACGGTACCTCCCGAGGGAACACGTTGTAGTGTGGTTTCAATCTTGGCATTGATTGCCTTCTATGGAGCGTTCTTGAATAGAAGTCGGGCCTTGCTGTTAGTGTTCGGCGTCACAATTTCAAACGCTGTCTTAATCGCTCGATGGTCTGAGCCATGGTCTGTCTCGTGCACCGCGCATTGTATTATCATCCGCGCCAACTCCTCCGACGCGATGGACAGATTAATCGTCGTTGTCGCGTCGTTTTTATGCTATGTCTTCGTCCCTCTTGGCAGGAGGCTACTGAGGGAGAAGTCGTTTATTAGTTCGATGATCGGATCCGCCTCTCTCTGCCTGTTCGCTGAGATGTTGTCCCCTCCCCATAGTTGGTCATGCCGATTGAAGTCTCCAATGAGGATCACGTCCACCACCTCGCCCGTGCCGCTTCTGGCTCCTGAGATTGCCTGCCGTAACAGGGAACACGCCTGTCGAAGCATCTCAGGCTCTTGTGCCGGAGCGTACACCGACAAAACAAGCACTCGACGACCCGAGAGTCGAAGGATGGCTCCGGTCATGTCCGGTGACGGTATCGGCACTTGCTCCGCCTCAACCTCCTTATTCACCCACAGCATACTCCTGATCCCCCATCGTCTCTCCTCTCTCCACGCCGTCGGAAGCATCCTCGTCCACCTACTATGCCGCATCGGCACCGTCAAGACATTGCCCTCTCTCTTCCACACCTATGGCTCCTGAACTGCTATGATTGTGAAGTCTTGCAGCTGCTCATCGTTCATCAGGCTTTCATGTACTGTATCCTGTTTCTTTACATTCAGTTGAAGGATCTGAAGGTTTCTACTCATGAAGAGATGGGTAGAGCTTCGGACACTTCTTGCTGAAGGATTCGTGCGGACCACCGCAGGGAACACACTTTAGTACTGTTTCGCGGCACTCCTTGTGGTGGTGGCCCTCCTGGGCGCACCGCCCACATACTAGGCTGTTCTCGCATTTCTCTGCCTTGTGTCGGACAATCTGTTGACATTTGAAGTACTGATGTGTCTGAGACTGGGGCTTGAACATTCCCGTGTTTCTAGACTCTTTACCGGCGTGGAAATAGCCCTCTGAGATGAGCCTTCTGGCGTCACTAGCCTTGGTTAAGTAGACCGCTATCGATCCGTACTGTTTCGGGTTTTCTTGGTCGCTTAGCCATACGATTTTGGCGACGGTGGTGTCGTTTTCCTTGCTGAACTCCTCTGCCGCTTCACTTCTGTACTTTCCTTTCTCCTCCCACACTGCCGACCATCGCACGAAGTCTACCTTGATCGGATACAGGTCGTCGTCCCGGACGCGCATACCCGGGGCAATCTTCGTCTGCGCGATTTGCTTGACCATTTGGTGTTCAGCGTCGTCTCGGCAGACGATTCTGATGAGATTCTCGTTTCTTGGGTTCACGGTGACGGCCTGACACCGCCATCCCGCATGCCCGTCCGCTCGCATCTCCTTTTCCACTGCTGCTCTGATCGTGCCCGCGTTGGGCTTGTTGTCATCTTCTGCTTCAACTCGTGAGGTATCGATCGTGCAGTAAAGAGTGTCGGTCACGTTGGGCGGTGTTGCGCCGGGCATACGGGTCCGTGCATCGCTGGTCTGGCCGGTTGGGGGGTTCGGGCAACGGCGGCGTAGGATGGATTGGGATCGCTACGCGCCGAAGCCAGAGTCGCTAAGGCCTCGAGCTTTTCGTGCGTCCTCGTGTTATCGTCTTCAGCCTGTCCCTTCAACGCTTGCAGGTCGCCGCGGACCGTCCGCAGCTCGTCCTTGATTGATCCGAGTTCCTCGTTTGCCATCCGAAGTTCGTCCGTGACTTGTCGAAGCTCGGCCTGGATATCCTTGTTTCGCAGTTCCGATTTCTTCCATGCGTTGAAAACCACCTGGAGGGATGCGTGAAGCTCCCTCATCTGCTTTCCCATGTCCAGCAGCAGGATTCTGTCGTCGTCCTCGGTCGCCTTGGTCCTTCCTCTCGCGGCTGACGCGCCCCTGGTGGTAGTCCTCCGCACCCCATTTCCTCCGAGATCGCTCGGCTCTGCGCTTCCATTGTCGGTAATCTCTTTGTTTCCTTCGTTCAGTCGGACTTTGGTCGTCGGTTTGCGTATCCGTCGCGGTGGCCGCTCCGTTCCGCTGGCCTCCCCCGAGTCGGACGCGACGTTGATTGTGTCCGACTCCGCCTGCATGTTTCACACCGGGACGCGCCGAAAGTGGGTCCACTAGTGTCGCGCCACGCGTCTCGGTAACGCCCCTTTCGCAAAACACCCAACTGACTCTCAACAGCAACAACAAAAGATGACAATAAGCTGAAATCCAATCTAGACTTTTCTGAAACGTGCCGGCTACTTGCCTATACCTGCGGGCGTAAACGTCCACTTCTGGTGGGTGTTCGTCCGGGCCCATCCACTGGGGCTGTTAGTATAGATCCACAAGCACCCCTCCCACCTTGATGCAACTACTTGTCTCTTTCTGCGTGTGGTAGGCGACGACATTGAAGGCGACTTACCAGATGCTGACGCGACACAATATGTCAGTTGGCAGTCTGTAGGGTACACTCCGCATCTTGCACTCCCTACTTCTCAACGTCGGCCGCCCTCCCGCTTGTGAAGAATAGTTGTCACAGTCGACGCTCCTGAGTCTCACGAGACCCACTGCTGCCCGTGTACAATCACACAACATAACGAAATGCCGAAAATCATCGAGGAAGACGTCTGGAAGGAGACCGAAAAGCATTGTAAACACGGTCAAGGCAATCCATCTCGGCAGCATGGTAGCACATTGATCAGGGATTCATTGTCGCAAGAGGCTTTCAGGGAAGTCAGACACGGGCTTCAATATCTTTTCAAATGCGACACCTCGCACCCACCCCGATGTAAAGCGGGAGGTCGGGGGGTGAAATTAGCTATGCAGATGTGCCTACTCGGCGCTTAGCATGCAGAAGATCACATCCACCGCAGCCAGTCCTACGCCATAAGGATTCCTGGAATTACTGTGGCCCGTGCACAGGATATCAATCGAGTACTTGAAGGCCCAACATCCCCTCAGCTCCCGTGTGACCTGGTTCAGCCCGCAGGATCGTGCATTTTGATCATACTATCAGAGTAAGTGTCTCCTTCCGGTAAATTTCCGTGATGTGGCTAGTTCTGAACCAAATTAGAAATCCAACATGCTCTTCAGCCCTTTTGACGCGCTCGGTCTCACGTGGGGGAAGTACGATGCCACAGGTATCAAAAAGGCATACCGACGAGCAGCACTCGTATGCCATCCGGACAAAAGAGAGCGGAATGGCATTCAACCACATCGCTGGCCCCAGATGTGGCAATTAGAGGAAGCTAAAGATTGTCTCTTGAAGGCCGAGTCAAAGGAGCTTAAGAAGTTCGAGGGCTTCCCACAAACATTCTTCTTGCTCAACGACAAATCTCCATACTTTCAGATCCCTCAGCCACTCCCAGGTCACTTCAAACATTGTGACATCTGCGAAGTCGTTGTGCTTTCGGACGATTTTACCAAGCATTTGGGAGAACACCAGAAGACGATATGTCCGGAATGCGACGAAAGAGAACAACTAGACGAAATCGGCGACCACCTTACGAAGTTACACGACTATCGTACATGCCACCACTGTCAAACACTCAGAGCACCCGCAGAACACAATGATCACATTCAGAACTACCACCAGTGTCCACTGTGCGATATGGATCAGGCTTTCGTCATCAATCATCTCGAGGAAGCGCACCGCCTCATCGTATGCAACGATTGCGGCGGCGACAACCCGGTGACCCACGTCATTACCGCACATCCTGCAACCGAATGCACTGGATGCAATAACATCATATTTGATGAATTTCTCCTGTATCACCTACAGGAAGACCATGGGTTGACGCCTTGTGATACCTGCGACGTTTGGGACACAGCTATCGAGCTCCGGGACCATGTTCTTACTGACCATGGATTGGACCGCTGTTTACTCTGCACCGCATTTTTCGTGGGAAGCTACCTTTTAGACGCGCATCTGGCTCGGGTCCACGATATCCGAACGTGCGTATCCTGTCCTCCGGGGAAATCCTTCGACATGGAACACGTCCTCAACCAACACAGCTCGGAACCCTGTCCGGAATGCAAAACTAGAATCCAGTCGGATAGTCTTCAGATGCATCTAACTGCTCGACACGAATGGATTCTATGTGATGTTTGTGGCCTAACGAGTCCCAACCCACAAGTTCTCCGAGAACATCAAGAGAGCCACCCTGTTTGTGAAATCTGCGACGAACGGGTTACAAACCTTCACGAGCATCTCCAAGATAGACATGGACTACTATGCTGCCCTCTGTGCAACAAAGGCTTCTCTTCGGTAGAGCTACCTGGGCATTTTCGGACAGTCCACAACCAGACCGAATCGTGTCCAGAGTGCCAATGTTCCAGGTCTAAGGGTGACCTCAATCTCCATGTCATCGAATCGCATGGGTGGCTTCCATGCCGTTTCTGCAACGATGGGTTCCCTGACGAAGCTCTAAGGACCAGCCACGAGGAACATGCACACGACACTCAGCCGTGTTGGCACTGCGACCAAGAGATTCCCGAAAGCCAGATGCGCTCGCACCAGATCCAGGAGCACGGTTACAAAGGTTGCCCTATTTGCCCGTCATTGTCAAGAGATCCAACATCACACCTTCAGAGACATAAACAAAAATCGGCCACAATGCACCATCAACTATCCGCGATCCACGACAAGCTCCGACAATTTGCAGCTATTGAACCCCGCTCAAAATCGCTTCTGCACCAGGCTGCGGAGTACATTCAGCAAGCTTTCGATGTTGAGAATCAGGATCCCGTTCTAAACCATCAAGGGCTGGCTTCTCCACAAGGCGCACAGTTGAACCAGACCCAGTGCGGAGCATCCATACTTGCGCAGGAACGACGTCCACCGTACCGCGATGAAGCAGGGGAGCGGTTTCAAACCTCTATTGCTAAGGTATCTTCGGGTCAAGGCTCGGGTGAGGAAAGTAGCCAGAGGCGGTCGGGTCGACAACAGTGCAAGAGGACTTCATCATATTCACTTGGGTCAGTGAAACCCTCCCGCAAAAAGCCTAGAACTTCCGTTACAAAACAACCCAGCCTGGAAGATGTACTGGAGAAGGTCACGAGCAAGGAGACAATAAGGAGCTTCGTCGAGGCAGTGAGGTCTAACAATCACCTACTTGATCCACCACGAGTTCAAGAGCTATGCCATGCGAGCCAGAGTGCCTACGGATCGCTATCACTGATCAGTCAATTCGCAGACAAATGCGAGCGCGAAGCTGGTCGCGCAAAAACGTGGCACTACTATGCACTTTTGCAAATGGCTCAGCTACTCGACCGTACCAAGGAAGAGTCGGGCAGGCAGAGAGTGGACTCTGCCGAATTGGACAAGATCCTGGAGCACAAACAATGCGAATTCACTGATCACAATCGGAATAGGCTTCGTAATCAACTCCAGTTTGGCCGCAAGTTGCAGAGAATTAGCGGTCCTTTCGTAGGACTGCTCTGTTTTCTAGCCATTGGCCAAGCAGACGTAGGAAAGAACCTGTCACTCACAGAAGCCGACTTGGAGCGTTTCCATGCCCGCCTAAGAACACATGAAAAATTGTGGGCCGCTGGGGAGCAATACTTGAGACTTTGGCATACTGGAGCAGTTGAGGGCGCTCATGAAATCAGAGAAATCACTGGGCTTATAGATGAAAGTAATTGCTTGGATGGGTTGGAAGATAAATAGGGGACCGCAATCATGCCCGCTCTGGCCGAGAGTATTTGCATGAGGGAACCAAACCTACTCTCTTGCTTGCGCAATACGGGTAATCACATAGTCAATGGATTTAGAAATACGTTAGTGGGATGAACTCTTAACGGATAGCTGCTGACTTGGGCTGTTGATCAGCTATTTGTCAAGGGTGGTAATGCTGATCTTATCAACTTTGCGTGGGCAACTGATCGAAAGATTCAACTCTCAGGCTCGTGAATCCCTCCATATTGTCCATCGTTAACACATTCCTTGTGTCTGCAGATCTTGTTGTTGACCGGAACGTTATACTTTCTGTCTGAAGGATCCATTGCCATCCAGTCGAATGTTAGTGTACCCATAACCATTCTTCTGATCCGTTGACAAGCCATGTCCTCCTGCGTAACTAGTACACCCCCTGCCCAATGGTCGCCCCTATTATTGAACTGGTGATGAGGCTCACGAAAGTTGATTTTAAGAAAGTCAGTCCACTGCTTGATCTTTGCCTTATCGGGGATCGGGAGGCTTCGCACTGTCATGATACGTCAGCGATCAATCAGATATACGAGGAAGTCTTATCTTACAAGCCTTAAAAACGTTAGCGTCTTCTTCCGTTACAGCAGGATGCAGTGTAGGAACAGAGTAGAGGCACCAGCCCATTTCCTTCAAAGCCCTGACACAAAAAGGCTTTGGGATCATTGAATAGCCTCCACCGACGCACCATTTCTTCTTCGTACTAGGATGATCCATTCCATGCATTCTGTCAATGAAATACTCTACCAACCTATCGTCTGGCTTCCCTAAGTTAGACTGCTTCCAGTATTTGAGCATAGGTATTTTGAAATAAAACCGTGCCTTCTTTTTGAGAGTTTGATGCACTGCCTGTCGGAGGGCAAACGTCATGTCGTTCACAAAGTCAGGTGGAACGACATGATTGCCACTCAACCAGCCATCAAAAGCACAGACTTGACAGTCGCACGTAGCCTTGTGAGTCTTGTACGATCTGAGAACTCGCAGATGTTGATACAAGCTTACGACGGCTAAGATAATACCGACAAGCTGTGGCGCCTTCCGTTCCTCTTGCATTGCCACTTTGCGGAGAGTTTGCAAGACCTCGGAATTCAGTATCCACTCGACCATTTCCGAGTTAAGTGAAAGATTAGCACAGGTCGCCCAAATCAGGAATGTCCAAGAGCCCCATTCAGAAGCGACAAATATCCTGCATTTTTTGGTTTCAGTGACGAATACTTCAAGCTCACTGGCTTCATATGGATTCAAGTGCACAGTCAACTGGCTTGGGATATCCTCCTGATGGTCTCTGGTTAGCACCTTGAACTTTATGTGTTACTTATGTACTAACCAGATTCTGAAACGGCAAAAGAATTTCGACACTCTGGAGGTCTTTCAGAAGTTTCAAAAGGTGGTGCAGAG